TCTGTGTCGGTGTCGGCAGATCTCTCTGAATAATGTGGATGCTGCGGCTGATGATGATGCGCCGCGTTGCACGTTGTTGTTGCGCCCTCTGTTGTTGTTGTTTTTCTTGTTGTTGTTGTTGTTATCAGAATTGATTCGCGACAACAACAACACAAGCACAACAGCTACGACAACGATATCATCCGCCTGCCTCAACGCCCACACACATATTGTTGCTGCTGCTTGGCTATGGTTGATGATTCGAGTTCTTTTTAAGGTGTGTGTGTGTGTGGGCAGGGGGTGGTTTAACTGAGGGTTGCTCTGTAATGGCCAGTGTAATGACATGTGCAGCCCGGCCAGACCGCCGTCTACATCACAACATGCCCCAGACATCAGTCGGTTGCCGGCTGCGGTTTCAAATATTGCAAAATTGTAAATGTTTTACTCGTATTATTGTTGTTGTGCCTGTTGTTGTTGTTGTTGTTGTTGTTGTTGTTGCTGCCGCTGCTGCTGTGACATCTGGCGGCTATGTTGTTGCTTGTTGGTTTATTGTAAATTACTGGCTATAAATTAAAATAACACACTCGCTAAATGCGTAATCAAAGGTTGGGATTTCCCTTTTCAGCAGCATACAATTTGTTTGTTTATAGATTGGCTTATTTTGATAATAAATTAAATAAATTAACTAGCTAAATGAAAAGCGCAGCTGTCATTTGAAGCACGACGAAGTCAATTAGCATATGGGAGCTCGGTTCGGTAATATATCTTGTTCAGGAGTGGGGCGCCGGAGAAGGCGCAGGATATTCATTTCTAAGAAAATCCTACTCACTTTTTCCGTATCTCTACCTCAACTACATCCCTTTCTTTTCCGATTTTTCCTCTGTTTTCTTTGTTGGTCCTTCTGTCTTTCTGAGTATCTCTTTCTATCTTTCTATCTTACGCTGCCTCCCACGCTCGCTCCCAAATTCAATATGCGAACTGAAACGTTTTTATCTCTCTCTCTTTCTTCGCACTCTCTCTTTCTTTTCCACTTTTAATGTATCCTGCTTTATTGTTTCTTACCTTTTTCGGCGTCTACTTTTTTGTTCTTCTCTCTTTCAATTCTTTTGACCCTCAATAGCCCTCATTTTCCCAGTTTTGGCACTCAAGCTCCCTGTCGCCACTTTTGTTCTTTCTTCTATCTGCCTCTCTCTTTCTCAGTTCTTTTTCTCTATATCTTGTCCTAATTATCTCTCGTTCAGTATCATTTTCTCTCTCTGTATTTAAGTCTCTCCAACGCACTCCCTATACTACTCGCCGTCTCGGTTTTTTGTCATGCTAACGCAACACACTTAAATGTCGCCTTTCTACGCGATTTTCAAAAATGCTAGTAATGTTCCAATGTTTGCTGCCTATTGTGTTCTAAATATACTGGCGATATTTCGTGCAAGGTAATGTATTTATTGCACTGAGCAGAGACACTGCAGTTAGGGAATTCTTGTCTAACTTTTCAGTGCCTTAGTTTAGCAGCTTTAGCTGCGCCGAACTTAAAGCAGACAATGAGTACAATCAGGAACAAGTACAGGCCCCAGCAGCTACAATAGACACGCTGCTGGCGGCTTTCATTGGTTTTTGTTTCATGTTGTTGTTGTCAGTGAAATTGCGTTGAATGCTACCTGCCATTTGGCGGCACATGTAGTAGCAGCAGCAGCGGCAGCAGGTGAATGGGGGTGCATGCAGCATGGAGCCGCACATTAAGTAAATGCCTGCCTATGTGCTATATACAGGACTATATGTGCATATGCAAGGGAACGTTATATAAGCCAACAGGCAGCAGGCAACAGACAAGAGACGGCTGATGGAGAACGCGAGACAGTAGACGGGGGACAACGGGCTAAAGGTGCTCGCTGCTCGTTGTTCGTTGAGTGTTGCTCGTTGCTGGTTGTTCCTTTGGCGTTTATTTGTAGCCAGAGTTTGGTTTGGTTCGTTTGTTTGCCTGCCAGTCAGCGCTGGATCCTAGCTGCATCCTCTGGCAGCCGCAACAGAAGCAACTTTTCCATTAAATCTTCTGTCCGTTTGTCGGCGTCGTCGCGTCTCGTCTCGTCTCGCCCAGTCCTGTCCTGTCCTGTCCTCTGCTGTCCTGCTCTCAACGTTTTCAGTGTGCTTGTGTGAGGTTTAAGCGCTGCCTTTAACTGTGTTGTCTGCTGTTTGCCATTGTCATTGTCTAGACTCTCGACTCCTGTCTCTACTTTCTGCTATTGGCATGGCCCAAGCTGCGTATGCGCAATATTTGGCCATGGCAAACTTAAAATAATCATACGCACCGTTGTGCAACATACAAAAAACGCCAGCTATTACTTTTTTGCTTTTTTGTTTCGTTTTGCCGAGTTCAAAGTCCGCAAAGTCCAAATAGCTTTAGCGATACTCGAATGCCGAAAATGCCAAAGCAGCTCCTTTGTATTTATATTTGTATTTGTCTATAAATAAACGAGTTGCCCTTGTTGTCCTTGTTGTCGTCCTGTCTGCCGTATTTGTTGACATGTAATTGCAACTAAATATTTTAAATTGCTTTAAAATAAAGCGTTCGCTTCTCTCACACCTCACTTCTCTCGCACACTTTGTGCTGGGCTATCTCATCCAAAAGGTTATGCAAATGACAAAGTTTCCTCTTGGCTCGGCGCAGGATGCGCATCCACCAGGCACACTGCACACTGTTGTGGTGCTGGATGCCGCCTGCACCGTTTGAGTAAATAACATACATAAAACTCGTATTTGTACACAGCATACGTGTAAACACTGTGCAGCAGTTGCTGGAGTAGGCGCTGGGGCAGTGGCAGTCGGGGTCCTGCAGCAGCAGAGAGCATCATGCAATTTCTGTTTGCATTTTACATTCAGCTGCGTGTCGGTATCGGGATACCTGGGTCCTTGTGTGGGTGACTGGCTCCCTTTATGCATATATATGCATATGCGTGTATAAGTGTGTGTGTGTGTGGCAATATGTGCAAATGCTTTTATCAACGGCATTCGTTAAACTACAAATAATCACATAAAAGCTCACCAAGCTAACGACTCACAAATGCTCTGCAATTCATATTCAATTCAACCAAATTAATGCTTAAGACTGGCATTTAAATTTAGCTTGAACTAACTGTTTATCATATTTACTGTGGTTGCTATAGTATATTTCTTAGTACTTTCCTTTCAAGTTCTTCGTTTAACATTTTGGGCTGTGTGTTGATCACCAATCAGGCAGCCATTCAGTTAATCAGCCAGTCAATCAACCGATCTGTTACTTTCTTCTTTTGTCACTCAGTCAACTAGTCAATCAATCAGTCAATTCAGTTAATGAACTAGTCAGTCAACCAATCGTTTGAGCGTTTTAGGGCGTTTGAGCCTCGTGATGATCACCATTCATTACATTACATAGTTAGTCAGTCAATGAGTGCGTCAATCAGGCAGTCAATCAATGTATTATTATTAATTGGGTTGCGTATTGAACGTCAATCATTCTGTTACTTAGTCAGTCAGTCACTCAACCAACCAGTCAATCAATCAATCAATCTGTTGTTCCATTTAGCTCCCCACATTCTGTCATTTTGTCTGTCAGTCAACAGTCAAACAGTCAATCAATCAGCTATTCCTTTTACTGCTTAAGCTGTATGTCTAACACCAAAAATTCTGTCACGTTGTTAGTCAATCAGTCCGTCAACCAGTCAGTCAGTCAAACAACCATTTTATAAATCAGTCAGTCAATCATTCTCCCCTCTTACCATTTCGGCGGACATTGATCACTAAACAGTCACTTATTAAGTCAGTCAATCAATCAATCAATCAATTTATCTGTCAATCAGTCAAGCAGTTAGAACAGTTATTCAAATATATTGTTTATGAATAATAATGAAGTTACATAAATAATCTGTTCTAGCGAGCTTTTATCTTTTCTATTACCTCAGACTATTTGCTCCTACGCATTTTATGTTTTCTTGAATGTTAGAATACGATTACTTTTAAAAACAAACAACATTTATATTGAGAGACCAGCCTGCTGGCTGCAGGCCAAAAGGCATAAGAGTTGTTGCTGTTGTTGGGCTGAGCGTGAGTGACAGTTGAGCGACGATTAGTTGTAGTTTAATGCACATATTTAAGCAGTTTATTTGCTTATTTATTTATGCACAATTTATGCCTAATTGATGTCAGCTATGCGCAGTGGCAGTTGCCGAGTTGGCGCTGTAATTAACACCAAAACACCCAGCGAACATGTCGGCAGTCACTTAAAGCGAATTCAAAATGCCCGCAACGCAGCCAAGACCTTCAATCATCAATCAGTCAAGTAATCAATCATTCAATTGCATACTGTTTTTTTCTCTGCAATACCAAGTCTCGCTGGGGGGAAAACTCGTTTGCCGGCGATGACAACGACATTGGCCACATTCTCCAGGTAACTCGCTGCACGCTCCATGCTCCACGCTCCACACTTCACGTCCCAGTGGCTGTGAGAATATGCAACGGCGAGTCGTTTAAGTCATAAATAGTTACGCTCAATGACAGTTATGTGTGCAAATATGAGCCCGGCGCATATTCGAACGGGTATTCACTGCCGACACTCACCCATCTGATGCACGCTCATCCTAATCAGCCACGATTTGGAGTAGGACGGCAAAAAAAATGAGAAGCTGCTGCTGGCTTAATTAATTAGGCGCGTGCGCTAATTGCTTAGTGTCCTGTTTGATGTTGTTGTTGTTGTTGTTGTTGTTGTTGTTGTTGTTGTTGTTGTAGTTTTTGCTGTTTGCAATTAGCCTGAACATGCGCTTTGGCGCCTGCGCCGCGGAAACCTGTTGGCCAGCAGTGAAAGCAAGTGTTGCAGAGGGAAGGAAATAGGAATAGAGCGAAAGAGAGCGGTAGAGAGAGCGAGAGCGCGTACGCTTTGACATTTATCAACGCTCAATGGCATAAAATTAATTAACAAAATTAATAAAACATTTTTTTAACAACCTAAACTCGAGCAACCAGTAAAAAATATTAATTAACTCAAATACTTTCAGTGGCTGCTCCCGCGGATACCGCATCAGCAACAACAGCAGCAGCAGCCACGTCGTCCATGCTCCGTCCTCCATGCTGCATCCTCCAACTGGCCGAGTCGTGCGTTATACAATAATTAAGTTTTCAGCACCTGCGTGCGCGCTGACTTGGAGCTGCAGCTGCCTCAACATGGGCTTCGCAAAAGCCGGTCGCAGCCGTTGCGACAGGGCCGTCTTACGGTTTGGGCGCCAGCTGTAATGGGGCGCTGAGCTCGAGTGCTTCATTGCCTAAATTCGGCTAACAATAATGTTGTTCTAATCATAATTAAAAAACAGCGGCCAGCCCCTAAAAAGAATTGGCGATGCTTCGGTTCACGGTTGAAAACATTATGTAAGAAATATTTAGTTCGGGTTGAGGTTCTAATATTTTAAGGACTACTGGTTAGATTAAAGGTTAGCTCAGCTTTTAATGGGATACTAGTTCAGTTCATGTATTGATTCACGGTTAAAATACCGAACTCTAACCGGTTTGCAGTGCTGGTTCACGTGGGTCTGTTTAAGACCTCTCTGCGCTCCTGTTGCGTTATCCAAAAACTGTCGCTTGATCAGTTGGCTTGCCACTGTGTTGGCAACTGTGGCGCATGTTTGGGCCATTTTACAAGCATAGCCAGTTTCAAATTTCATTCCGGCTGCCAGTGTCCCGCTTCACCAACTGCTCTGCTGGCAGCCGCTGGATTCTCGGCAACGCAGGCGACTCTGCAACTGCCGCTTGCACTGGGTGCGTGTGTCTGTTGACGTGTTGTTGCACATGCGCATTAACCCGGCCACAAATTGTAATTACCACAACGCATTACAACATAATTCCCAATTGAGTCCTTGCTCCCCTTTGCTCCTGCCCATATTTCGGGTGTGAATTTAATGATACGGAACAGCAGCATCCAGTTGGGCCAGAAGAAAGTTCGCCCCAATTGCCGAGACCAAGTGAAGGGCATCGAGATGTTGGAACGCGCCGATCTTTGGTAATAACATAATAGCCCAAAATATTGTGTATTGGCATTGGAATTCAATTAGCAGACGGCAGTTAACTCATGTGAAGGGACGCCGCCTGGTCGCATCCTCCATGCTGCTGCTGTCCAGTGGCCACTTCCACTTTGAGGTCAATAGTTTTTGCAAATTGCTGTTTGTTGTTTGTCGTTTTTAGCAACAGGCTCAGGTTCGGGCCGGCACGGCGCGGCTGTCCCTAACCCTGTCCCTGGCCCTGCACTTGAGCTCCCGACCAGTTTAGAAGCTCTTTCTTCTCCTTCTCCCTCTCTCTCTATTTCTCTCTCTCTCTCTCTCTCTCCAAGCACACGTGCAAGCGACCAGTTTGGTAAGCTCTAGACAAATTGCTTGGACCACGTCCAACTGGGCACTGTGGCTATTCGCAGGCGAAGAAGATGCCATCAGGTGTCGAGTGTTTTGTCAGCAATATTTGCGTTTGGCCTCACTAAACGGCAATGAGCTGCACCGAGAGACTCAATAGAACCGAGCGTAATTGTCAAAATAACAGGAATCCGGTTGGGTTTGCAGCAAAGCTTGCTTAAAAATTGTTGAGATCATACTAAATGCAAGTCCCAATGCGCCGAGGTATACTCCAAAGGGCAGCCTTACATTTAAGGAGCTGTCTTTATATAATACACTTCCTAAATTAATATTTGACTAACCAAGACGTTAGCCATAGCTGACATAGTGAACACTACGGGATAAGTAAAAATTCCACTAGCAAGTGTGGAAAATAGGTGGAAAACGTTTTTGTGAAAGTTTTTTGCTTGCGTTTTACTTAAAAGAAACTAATAAAAATGCATTGAAGACGTATTTTGCGTTACAAATTAAATAAATAACGCCCTTCTATAGGATTCTATGCGATAAACTTATAAAAGTCTTAGAGATTTACAAGCTGTGATTATGCGTGTTGTAATAAAGAGTTCTTTTGGCAATCTAATAAGCTTTTCTCCTGTACATATTTACATAAATATTTATGCTCTATATATAAAATAAACCTATAACATAGGCATAAAACATGAACATAATGTTAAGAACAACATGCAGAAAGTAGGAAATAAATTGTTCTTGTCGAGTTGCGTAACTTACTTGTTTTATCTTATTTAAATAGAATACATAAATAGCAGTTGGTTCAGCTTGAAGACTGGAACTGAATCGCTACCTTTGGCCAGTTTGTGACCAGTTTCGTTGGCTCTGGCAACTGTGGGAGTTTGGTTTGGGCAAACTTGACCCAGGTCTAGGCGCAGAGTCTGGGACATGGACTGCGTTTAGTTGAAGACTGTCTGAAACTCGTTTCAATTAAAATTCTTCGTGCAAGCAACGACAGAAGAAAAAGAAAAGCGAGCCACAAAAGCGGCAGCCAAAGACAAATTAAAGTGGATTATGAGGAGCGCGATTGTACATACAAATACAAATATATATGCACATATGTACATATATATATATATATAGTATATATGGTCATATGAAAGGTATATATGAGCGTGCATACGTGTAGATGCATATGTATCTTTGTATCTCTGTGCATGGCCAGAACGAGGCGCTGCAGTTGGTTTTGTTGTGCCTGCCGCCTGCTCGTTTACGGCTCCAGTTGCGTGTGTGCGTGTGCGTGTGTGTGTATCTGGCGCATTTAAGTAAATTTTGCAGAAATTGGTGCAAAAGACAAAAGAAAAGCACATAAAAATAATAACAGACGCAATCTGACGTCGTCGCCGGGCGACTTCAACCGGCCGCCGGGCCAATGACTAAATGACTGACTAAGTGCCAAAGGGTACCAAGGGACATACAAGAAGAGGGACAAGGGACAACAAGACCGGGTCGGGTCGGGGGACTGGGCTGCGGTTCTCCTGGGCCTCCAAATGCGAAATCGAAACGAAAAATCGAGAGGCAAAAATATAAAATACGAGTGCGGCCGCCGCCGTCGCCGTCGTCGTCGTCGTCGCTCATTATAAATTTTTTTAATCGGCAGTGCAGCAAAAAACATCAAAGATCCGTCGACATGGACTTGGACTTGGTTTCGGCTCGAGACGAGTTGAGTCGAGTCGAGTCGAGACGCAGATCCTGCAGCAAGTTTAAATATTTAAAACAAAGTCTTGAGCTCTTGCGGCCTGTGTATGGCTTTAGGCCTCCTATGCACACCTTGCTATGCCCCTCCAGCCGGCGTCTTCATGCCCAGCTCCATCTCCATCTCCATCTTCGTCTCCGTTTCTGACTGGTACGACATTCCAGGCGCGCGCGCTCCACCTTCGCCTTGTGCACAGGCCGCATCCTCCATGGTCGCACACACATAATTTTTGTTGTTTTTGTATATTTATTTTTTTTATTTACTCTTTTTTTTGTTGTTGTTTATTTTTTTGGACCTGTCTGCGCTTAGCTCTTTGGGTCTGTCCTTTCGGTCCGTTTCGGTGTTCGTCCCATTCCCAGTCGCAGTCCCAGTCCCAGCCACGGTTTCGGTTTCGGTTGCTGTCTCCAGCTCCGTCTCTGTCTGGGTATCTGGCAACTGTTCGTATTTCACCTGGCACTGCCGTTCAGTCATTAAATGCCCTCAAAATACAAACAACAACAACAACACAACAACAATAACTGCCAGTCGAGGACAACGTACAATAGCCTCACGCATATACATGAATATTTTTTGTCTTTTTTTATTATTATTTGCTTAATATTATTATTTAATAAAAATTTTGACAGTGATCTTCCCCTTTGTCTGGTCTTCAACTGTCTGCTGACAGCTGTTGACAGAATGAGATGCAAAGCGAAAAGTGAGAGGCAGATAGACGCATACGACGCATAATACGCACCTCATGCAACTCGTGCAACTCATGCCACATTGCATTGTTATCCCAAAAGCCATCAAACAGATGCACAACAAACAACATTTGGCCATTCAGCAGGCACTTCGTCAACTTCACTTCGAGCTTCAGGCTGAATGAAAAGTTTTTAGCAACAGTCGAAGTTGAAGTGGAGATCGGTTAACAGAATATACAATTATAAATGACTTTAAATATGTTTCAAATCATAAATACCTAGAATGTGAATTAAATAATGTAAAAATAAAAGGACTGACTCATTTGATTTTAGATTAGAATAAGGCATCTACTTCTAACAGCAAATCCCTCGATCAAGAAATCCTGAGAAACCAAGAAAGTTCTTGTAAAATTGAACAGGTGAAGAAATTGTACGCTCAGAAGTGGCAACAATATCATACACTAAACGCAAGCTAAGTATACTTTATACATCTGCTGTTACTGAAACTAAGGATTATGATAACAATATATGCATACATAAATGTAGAGGGGGAATACACGTGTGTATTGCTCGATTAAAGTCTAATTAAGTCTCGATTAAGTCTCTAGTCTAGAGAATATCCCTTTGAGTTATTTATTTTATTAAATTGATTAAGCTAAAATAAAAGTGTTGTGTAATGACAAGTCAATGTCAAGTCTGAATCAAAACTTAAATAAAATTAAATGAATATCTGGCAAAATATATTTCTACACATGCAGCTGTTGACCCGCAAACCACTGAGACAGAGACAGTTTTTAGTCCAGCGGCTTGCAAATCATATAGCTGATATATCAGATACTCTGTGAATACCTTATACAGCAAGAACATAGAGAAACACCTCTTTGATTTCACAACTTCGAGACCCCTAAAGAAAAAGAGTTTTTTGTCCAGTTTATTCTGAGCATTCTGTTGCGCTTTTCAGCGAGCAATAAAAAACTTCAAACTTAACTTATTAAATTTAAAGATCAGCGTCAGACGCATTTGTGCGTTGTTTCTCAGCTTTTGTATCTTTGTATCTCAGTATCTCAGTATCTTTTGTTGCAATTTACATGCCACCGCAGTGCTGTGCCGCAAAATTGCCGCAAAATTGTGCGTATATGCACATGGCACATGGAGCTGGGGCACAGGAAGCAGCTGCTCGAAATTCTTGGAAATGCTGCGTTTATTTTGTCGTACAGCAGCAACAACAACAACAACAGCACATTAAAAGGTGCCTGTTGCATTTGTGTGTGTTTTACAAGTTGCCGCCAACGTAGCAAATATAATTTAATAAATTTAAATGAGACAAACGCAAGACAGGCAGCAACAACAACAATGATGATGACAAGCACAAGAGCAACATCAGAAACAACATAAGCAACAACAACAACAACAACAACGGCAACAACATCATTAGAAGCCGCTGCCAAAACTGTGCTCTGCCCAGGCTCTGGGGTCAATAGTATCCGCGGAATTCAATGCTTTTTGCATTTGGCCAAGAGCTAAGGCCAAGTCACAAGAAGTTGCTGCTTCTGCTGCCCGCTGGCCTGCCCTCTCTCTCCCTCCTCCTCTCACTCGCTCGCTCTCTAGCTCCGTCTCTATTTAGCGAAATGCTCTCATGGGCTCACAAGGAAGCGCATTTTTAAATGCCAAAACAAATGGAAAAATTAAAGCCAACGAACGAAGCTATGAGACGCGACGCGACGTAAACGTAAACCTGCCCGGACACGGGACACGGGAGCGGAGGGGGGCTGCCTCTTGGCTGTAAAAATGCATCTAAGCTGCTTTGCTTTTTTGCCAACTTTTACCAACTGGTTTCTGGCATTGCCACAGCCCCCAATCCACCCCACACACCGCTGCAATTCCCAGATTTTTTTTTTGCGCAGCTCACAGCCTAACAGCTCCACGGCAGCCGCAACACTTTTATTATATGCCTTCATCTAATAAGCCAGGCCTCAGATGTTGCTGCTGCCTCTGCTGCTGCTGCTGATGCTGCTGCTGCTGTGTCTATTGAGCTATCCGTGTCCAATTGCAAAGCCCAGATACATACACATGCTGCTCGTCGCATTGGTCGTCCGTTGGGTTCATTGGTTCTGCTCGTATCGAGCGCGATGATCACCAAACATGATCGTTCAACTTTGCTTTTTAACGCCAAATAAAATAAATCAAATTCCACTGCGGTCGTCGACTACAGTCAGGCCCAACTAGAAGTAGCTGCAGCTAGGCCCAGGAAATGCCGGACACCTTCGCACCAGCACACTCAAACAAACACAGACTGTGAGCCATAAAATGCATCTATTAGTTGCAAATGCCCGACAGGGCACAACAACAACTACAACAACAACAGCAACTGGTATCTGCATCTGTCTCCTGATCGAGGACCGCAACGGTTAAAATTCGCAATTATTTTTTGCTGTGACTTAGCTTAGTTTGACCTGCCACAACTAACACCCGACCCCCCGCTAAGTGACGATCAATGTCCTAGGCCCTAATAAACTAGAGGTATGCCAAATGCAGCGCCCAACAAGAGCCACCAACCAAACAACTGCCAACAGCAGCGAAGACAGCGCAGAAACAACAGAAAACAAATTCAGAAACCGAAACCGATACAGAACCAAACAGAGCCAAACAGCACAGTGCAGAACCGGGCAGAACCCAATGACCGAACCGAGGAGCCCAACATGTTAAGCCAGAGATTAAATTCAAATAAATCGACATGGTCGCCTGGAAATGAAAACATTCACAGAGCAAACGACAACAACAGCAACAACAACGACAACAACGCCACGTTAGCGACAACAACAACGCGAAAAAGAAATAAAATATTGATTGCATCAAGCATATTGAAAGCTTTGATACCCTGTAATGGCAGCTCGACATATCTTGGCACAAAGTAAAACATTTCAAACATGAACTCAAAAGATAGCCAGCTATCTTTAGAATGAAGAATCAATAATTAAAAAACTGGATTAGCAAGACGAAAATAAATTGATTTAAGTTCTCTCTGTAAATTGTGACAAACTGGTTTTGAACCGAACCAAAATAAACTTTATAAGCAAGATTCAATATTTCCAAGCATTTAAAATATAAACTTTAAACATTAGCATTAAGAGAAAACCTTTGAGGTAGGCCCAGCATAAATAACCATATTTGACATAATGTCAATTTTGGATAGAGATCTAATTTAGCGCGCATTTCGTATACAACTTGCAATAATTTCAGTAGAACGGGCGCAAAAGTAAATTATAATATGAATTGTTTCCTTAAAATTTAGAAAATATATGCTTATCAAAAG